CTGGATGGGCGACGCTGAGGGCCTGGATGCTGAGGCGCGGCAGCAGTGCGACGGTGGCAGGCCTTGCAAGCTGGCGCAGAGGCCGAACCCTTGGTTTCACGAGGGGGACGGCGGTGGCGCGGCGCTGCACCTCGGGCATCGGCTGCGGCGAGCGGGCCATCTCCTGCGAGGTCTGCGTCGCGTGGATGCAGACCCGAGCGGCGAGGGGGCTGCAGAAGGCGCGCTGCGGGCCGCCCACCGACAAGGGGCACCACCAGCGTACCTACGTCAGCGACCTGGCGGCCAGGAGGGACAGGCTGCTGCGTGGTCTGGACCCCAAGACGGGCAGGTCATGGGCCACGGGCACGCTGGTGCACGACGAGCGCAGCTCGGTCGACGACAGCTCCGAGGAGGGCACCGACGAGGCGGTCGTGGCCCATGGCTACGTGGAGGCCCCGCTGGCGGACGCGCAGGGGACCGCGACGCGCGGGTCTCCCGCAGCGCCGCGTGGCGGGCGCACGGAGGAGGCCCAGAAGGCGGGCGCGCAGGAGACCGCGACACGCGGGGCCCCCGCAGATCTGCGAGGCGCGCGCACGGAGGAGGCCCCGCTGGCAGACGCGCGGGGGACCGCGACACGCGGTGCTCCTGTACCGCCGAGAGGCGGGCGCACGGAGGCCAGCCGCCTGCTTGCGGAGGTCGCGGCGCGCCGCAGCGCTTGCGCGGCGCCAGCGCCACCCTGGCAGGAACGGCTGGAGGTGCTGCGGCGGCGCGCGGCGACGCGCGAGGCTGGCTTGGCGCGCGTTGCCGCTGGTGGGACTGGCTGCGTTCCAAAGGCGCAGGTCGCGGAGGCGTTGGCCGACACGGGGTGCGCTGCTGGTGGTCGCGCCGAGTCATGGGCAGTGCGGAGGCAGGCACTGCTGCGGCGGCTCCAGGCGCGGGCCGAGCGGCTCTGCGGCGGCGCTGGGGCGGCCCCCAGGGAGGCGCCTGCGGGCTTTGCCGCGCGGCTGCGGCGGCGGGGCATCCGCGTGGCGCGGCCGCCGCCCAGGGCGGCCCTGCCGCGGCGGCCGCCGCGGCCGCTGGCCCTGGAGCGCAGGCTGGACCGCTGGGGGCGGCGGTGGATCGAGCCGCTGCTCGACGCCGACGGCGCGGCCAGCGAGTGCCGCCGCGCATGGCGCCGCGGAGCGATGCTGCGCGGTGCCTACGCCAGGTATCGCTCGGGCCTCACGCTGAGCCAGCGGTGCGTCACCGACAGCGTGCGGAGGCACGAAATGCACTGCCTCCGCAGCTGGCTAGCGGCGCCTGCGGGCCTGCCGCCCGCGCTGGGCTGGGCCCGGGCGGCGCGCCGCAGGCCGCGGCCTGGGCGGCGGCGGCGCCTCGCGAGGGCCAGGGCCGCCTCGGCGCGCAGGCGGCGTCGCAGGAGCACAGCGGCGGCGAGGGCAGCGACACGGGCGAGGGCGTTGCCTGAGCGCGCCCTGTCGCTGTCCCTCCGCGCGCCCAGCGGCGACGGCGGCGCGCTGCGCTGGCCGCAGGCCGCGTCCCCCAGCCGCGGCGGCGAGGGTGGCTAGGCGGTGGCCGCCATGTCAGCGGCGCGGTCCACCTCGCGCAGGTCGCGCGGCGCCGCGGCGCAGGCGGTGACACGGTCGTCACGTCGTTCGGCCCAGCCTTCGACCTTATCTGAGGTTCCCCGAGGCGCTGTTTCCCAGTCAGACGGCACCCTCAGGCTCTCCTTCTCCTCCTGATCTCTTGATCTCCTCCTCCTTCTCCTCCTCCCCCTTCTCCTCCTTCTCCTCCTTCTCCTCCTCCTCCTCCTCGTCCTCCTCTCCTCCTCCCCTCCTCCTCCTCCTCCTCCTCCTCCTCCTCCTCCTCTCCTCCTCCTCCTCCTCCTCCTCCTCCTCCCTCCTTCCTCCCCCCCCCATCCTATTCCTCCTCCCCCTCCTCCTCCTCCTCTCTCCTCCTCTCCTCCTCCTCCTCTCCTCCTCCTCCCCCTCCTCCTCCTCCTTCTCCTCCTCCTCCTCCGCCTCCTCTCCATCCGCGCGCACTTGAAGAGATGCATATGACTGACTCTCGCGATCTACATACATCAAATCTGGAAGCATCTCAGCTGCGCCACCCTTGTTTCACTGGCTTGGAAAAGGGAAGTGTTACATTCGCGCTGCCATTCAGTTTTGATATGTGTGTTGCAGGACAGCGAATTCCGCAACCGTTTCGAATGCCACCGTGACCGACCACGATCAACCTGAACGACGAGGAGTTCGACGACGAGTCGAGACGAAGGGGCAATAGCAGCAGCACAGAAATGGCGCCCCCATGTGAATAAGAGCTCTGGGGAGGATCTTCCCCGAGCACCACAAATTCTACATGCGCTTTGTCAAAGAGTGTGCTAGCACACACATACAATGAATCTTTCCAAGACCTCACCATGCTGCCCCAGGAGCAACAGTGACCACCTGACAGCGTCAACCTTCACAAGACTTTCAAAGTCGTGCGCACTGACAGATTGCTTGCGACGCGCAGAATTTCGAAATGCTGAGAAAGCGCAGCAATGAGTCTATCAATCGGCGACTGCTGCAGTAAGAGCTGTTCGATATGATAAGGACAAGCGCCCCACCCACCACCGCCAGAAGCTTTGTTTTCACAGGCACCGAGGTCACCAGTCCCAAGATAAACACAACGTTCCTATCATGCAGAGCATGCATGGTGTAGCGCTGCGAATTAGTTCTGGGCATCCACCAGCAGATCCGAGTATAACATCCGCGAGACGCCGTCTGAATACACACAGCCTGAGTTCCACACGCGTCCACCCTCCACCCCCTTCCTAGCTGGAAGGGTCGCCCTGCGGCCCCTCCTGCTGACTCGGCGCACTCGTCGCCAGGCTCTTTCGGGAAAATGCCCGTGCAGTGACCGGTGGACTCTTCGTTCTCATGTGACGCAGGTTGGGGCGAGAAAACTTCCGCGTGCAAGCCCCTGCGGTTGCGGATAAGAGCTGGGTCCCCCGCGGGGGCGCCAAGACAAGCGCGCGTCGCGGTCTGCGCCAGAGCGCCTGCCCTTCTCCCGGGAGCGAAGGCGCGAGAGTGCGAGGGTGATCGCGCACCGTGGAGCGCGATGCGCGTGGTTAGGCGCACGAGATTCTTGCCCTCACCTGACGAAGGCTGGGGCGAGAGAGCTTCCACGTGGAGGCCCCCGCTGCCGCGAGCAAGATGCGGAGGGAGGCGCGAGCAGCGCGGGCCGCAGACCTCGCACGCATCGCGCGGCTGGGCCGCCGAGGCGCGGGTCAGCGCACGGGCCGCAGGGCAGAGGCGCGGGGCGCGGGGCGGCGGCGCGGAGCCAGCAGCAGCCGGCCCATCCCCGCGGAACGCCCGCCTCGGCCAGGCGCGCCCGCCTCGGGGGCAGCGCAGGACCGCCCGGGGGGCCCCTGGCCGAAGCCGCCTGCGATCCGCTCCGGTTCGCGGTTCGATTCGGTTCGGTTCCGATTCGGTTCGGTTCGGTTCGGTTCGGTTCCGATTCGGTTCGGTTCGGTTCGGATCACCGGCATCGGCTGGGGCCAGCTGGAGCCAGGCGGCGATGCGATCTCGATGCGACTCGGGACGGGTCGCCGGCGACCCGATGCGTTCCCGACCCGACCGGGTTCCGCGATTCGATCCAGGTCAGGTTTGCCCGCCCTGATCTCGAGCGTCAGCCACACGGAGAGGGGATAAGGGGGAGGGGGGAGAGGCTTCTTAGAAGCACCCCTGCTTCTCAGAAGGCGCGGGCCTTCTCTATAGATGGAATAGCCAGCGCTTGCTAAGAAGCAGCCTCCTTCTTAGAAGATGTCCCCCTCTCCCCTTACCCAGATAAGCGACGCAAAAAAACGAGGTCGTATGCGCCAACGTTGGCGCGTGAGCTGCCCGCGTAAGGTCGCGCGTAAGCGCCCTGATGACTCCACTATGGCGTGCCGCGCCGGCGGCCCGCGCAAGGTCGCTGCGTCATCTCGCGTAAGATCTCTTCGTGATCGTCGCTCAATCGTGCGCGCCGCCAAGAGCGGGCCTCGCCGCCGACGCCGCCGTCCGCCGCGCACCCTGGCCGCCAGGCCCGCCCTCCGCGGGTGCGTTCGTCCGCGGAGCCCCCGCGCCGCGGGCCGCCCGAGGCCGCGGCGCCTCCAGGCCCTGCCCGCGCCCGCGGCAGGCGCGGCCCCGCGGCGCGGGCGTTGCCCGCGCAGCCCGCGGGGCACACTGCGATGCGATCGATGCGATGCGACTTCCGATCCAGCCACTGCGATGCTATCAATCTTCTGGGGGCGATCGCTGAGCAGGGCGAAGGCGAAGGGCTTCCAGTCGTCCCTCAGGCCCCGTCGCTTCCCAACGCCCGCCCCCGAGGAGACACGTGGCTCTCCTCTTCCTTCTCCTCCTCCTCCTCCTCCTCCTCCTCCTCCTCCTCCTCCTCCTCCTCCTCCTCCTCCCTCCTCCTCTCTCCTCCTCCCTCCTCCCTTCCCCCCTCCTCTCCTCCTCCTTCCACCTCCTCCTCCTCCTCCTCCTCCTCCTCCTCCTCCTCCCTCCTCTCCTCTCCTCCTCCTTCCCTCCTCCTCCTCCTCCTCCTCTCCTCCTCCTCCTCCTCCTCCTCCTCCTCCTCCTCCTCCTCCTCCTCCTCCTCCTCCTCCTCCTCCTCCTCCTCCTGCTCACCAAACCACCTTAAGGCAACCCGAAGGCCCGAACTTGCCCTCCATTCCCAGTGGAGGAGCATCTTGGAACATGGGGAAACATGGGAAAAAAAGCACAGGTGGGACCCGTACCCCCCCCCCCCCAACCCGAAATTGGGGATTTCGGGTTGGGTTGGGGGGGTCTGGCAGATAGTCAATCGAGTCCAGCCCGATCCGACCAGGGAAAGTCCGATGCCGCGACGAGCCGACGCGGCCCACTGCTCGCACGGCGCCGTCGTGCATCCTGGCGCGGCCAGTGCGGTTCGATCCCGACTCTCTTGCCCGTGCAGCCCGATTCGGTGCACGTTCCGATTCGATGCTGAACGCTCCTACCCTTCCCTGCGCGGAGGTCTGCGCCTGCTGGATGATGGCCCTGATGGCCATCACGGTCTGGGAGCCGCTGTGCAACTTCTGGGGTTTCGAACAGAGCATCGACGCCCTCGCCAAGGACTGCGTGGATCGCGGGGGCTCGAGGAGGAGGAGGAGGAGGAGGAGGAGGAGGAGGAGGAGGAGGAGGGGGGGAGGAGGAGGAGGAGGAGGAGGAGGAGGAGGAGGAGGAGGAGGGAGGAGGAGGAGGAGGAGGAGGAGGGGGAAGGAGGAGGAGGAGGAGGAGGAGGAGGAGGAGGAGGAGGAGGAGAAGGAGGGGGAGGATGGGGAGGAGGAGCAGGAGGAGGAGGAGAACTAGGAGGAGGGGGAGACGGAGGAGGAGGAGGAGGAGGAGGAGGAGGAGGAGGAGGAGGAGAAAGAGGTGGAGGAGGAGGAGAAAGAGGTGGAGGAGGAGGAGATGAGTGATTGATCAAAGGAGGGCCAGGCAGAGGAGCCTGGCGCGGGGGGGTCCCTGGAGGCGGGCCTCCCCCTCCACCTCCGGCCGGGGGTGCTGGACCCGCCCCTCTCACGCCTGGGGCCCTCGTGGCCGCTCTTGCCCGAAAGGCGGGCGGGTGCAGGGAGAGCGGCCGCGGATCAGGGCGCTGTCGTCGGTTCTGAGACCCTCAGATCGTGGCGTTGCCATTTTTTTCACAGGCAGGGATCTTGCTTTCTTTCGGGCCACGAGACCCTCGCGGATCGATCTGGCTCGGAAAACGGCACGGAAGGATGTGGTCTAGGGCTCCGGTCGTAACTTTCCGCGATGTTTCGATGTTTTCGCAACGTCGTATCTCATGGGAGGTTTTCCAGCCTCGGGGTGCCTTCCAGCAGCTGCGCCTTGCCGAGAGCGGTCCAGGGGTGCCCGGATCGCCCCGAGTGGCGGCAGGGGAGCCGAGCTATGGCCCGAAAACCATTGGGGGGCACGGGGACCTCAAGATCCAGGCGTGTATTTGTTTGGTCACGGCGGGCGTTTTCGCCGGTATTCGGGCCCACAGATCGACCCGGCTCGGGACACGCTTCGGAAGCACAGGGTCTGGGGCTCCAGTTGTGATTGCTCGCAATGTTAACGAACGTTTTGACATCAGCAGCCAGAGACCCCCTTGTCGGGGGCAAGGTGAAGCCACCCGGCCCGCTGCACCGATCGTCTTGCTAGCGAGCCACAGTTATTGGGAAACGACCCAGAGCAGGAAGTATTTAGCGAAGGAAGGCGGAGGAGGAGGAGGAGGAGGAGGAGAAGGAGGAGGAGAAGGAGGAGAGAAGGGGGGTCTGGGAAGGGGCTCTGTTCCATCCTCGGAGGCCCCCAGAGGCCCAAAACGCTCCAACGACCAACATCGAACAAATCACCACCATCATCATCACCACATCATCATCATCATCATCAGCATCATCATCATCATCATCATCATCATCCGCAGCAGCAGCATCATCGTCATCATCATCATCGTCGTCATCATCACCATCATCATCGTCATCGTCATCGCCATCGCCATCGCCATCGCCACCACCATCCCTCCTCCTCCTCGTCCCTCCTCGTCCCTCCTCGTCCTCCCTCTCTGTGGTGTCCGACTCCCGGGCTCGGAGTCAGCCGGATGGGGGGCGAGCTACACCGTGTCCGTCTGACATGCGCGAGGGCAGGCCAGGCCCATCCGCTCTGAACCATCGCGCTCCTCTGCTGTCCTCCTCCTCCTCCTCCTCCTCCTCCTCATCCTCCTCCTCCTTCTCTCCTCCTCCTCCCCTCCTCCTCCTCCTCCCCTGCTCCTCCTCCTCCTCCCCTCCTCTCCTGCTCCTCCTCCTCCTCCTCCTCCTCCTCCCGCCTCCTCTTCCGTCTCGACTATCCTCTCCTTCTCTCCTCCCGCCTCCCCTCCTCCTCCATCTACGCACATCCTTTTTCCTAATGAATAGCTCTTCCCTGTCGCACCCCGAGAGGTGTCGGTAGGGCGGGCCCAGCGTTTCGCGTGAGACGTTTTCACCAGCTGTGGCTTTGAAGCTGCAAATTTGCAACAGCTTCACGGATGGAGGGTGGGTGGTTTTCAACATGTGGTTTTCGTTTCAGTGCCCCGCACGTTCGGCTTAAAAGTTTGCAAGAGTTTCACGGATGGACGGCGGGTCGTTTTCAAAATGTCGTTATCGCTTTATCGCCGCGCACATTGGTTGTGAAAGTTGGAATGAGCTTCACGGATGGAGGGCGGTTCTTGTTCAACATGCGGTTCTTGCCTCAGCGCCGCGCACATTGGTTTTGAAAATTTGGACAGGTTTCACAGATTCTTATGATTGGCGTCCCAAGAACGGTGTTCCGACACGATTTAGGATCGTCGGGGCGTAACAGAAAAGGTGATTCGCGGTGCTGAAGTCACATGAACGGCGTGCTTGCACGATTCAGGATAACCAGGACGCAACACTAACGTTGATTCGCGGCGTTGAAGTCCCATGAATAATGTTTGGCACGGTTGAGGAGTCTCAAACGGTTGTCTTCCAACGAGGCAATGCCCGCAGTAAAAGAATTAGTGGACTTGTGGTGAGGGGTCTTGGAGGGAGGTTGTATTGCAACATAGTTGATTCATCTTGTGTTTACACTGATCCTCACCCTCCTTCTCCTCGTCGTCGTCATCTTCACAATCACCAGCATCCTCATCACCTTCAGCATCATCATCAGCAGCATCATCAGTATCATCATCAGCGTTATCATCGTCGTTATCGTCATCATCATTATCATCATCAGCATCATCATCGTCATCGGCATCGTCACCATCATCATCGTCATCGTCATCGGCATCGTCATTGCCATTGCCATCATCATCATCATCATCATCATCATCATCATCAT